GTGTGTGTGTGTGGGTGAACGTGTGTGTGTGTGTGTGTGTGAGAGAGAGCGAGAGAGAGAGAGATTTTGTTTCTACTGGTTCATGCAACCTGGTCATGGTATCCCTTACCCTGCTTCTGTATGTGGGCGAAAAGAAGAGGGAGGGAGGTTGTCTCGTCCCGTGATTCCGGAGGTTAGGGCTGGCAAGGGATTTTTGTTTTGTCTTTGCTGATTTGATTTGGAAGGAGCTTCAGTAAGCGTTTGTGGCTCGCCGGACCACTCGCCAACCGTGAATAATAGAGAAGGTCTGGCGGGTGCACTCTACGTTCTAGAGGTCGGTACTTGTCGATTGGCACGTTTGGTGGGTAGTGCGGGGAGGCCCCATTGTCTCTGTGGCGTTACTGTGAGGTATTCCAGGCTAATAGTTTGGCCAGCTCATCGTTTGACCCGAACGCATGCGGACGGGTAATAATACTTTAATTTTCTTCGCTTGAGGACCCGACAGCCCTGAGGCCATCGTTCAATATAACGATAGATGCCCCTCGTTCACGTCTTAACCAGATGTAATCAGATGACGGGGTTAAGACGTGAAAGATGCCCCTCGTATTACTGGTCGGACAACAGTAGTAATCAGATGACAGGTTGCTGTCTATCATCTGGCTATGGAGGGGGTTAAGACGTGAAAGATGTCCCTCGTCGTGAGATGTGGATGAATTTGCAAGGGGGGCTGAGGACCTCGCTCCACTTCTCTCCACATGCACAAAAGTTAAAATATGGCAGTGTATCTTCCCATGTTTCTCTCCACATGCACAAAAAAGAAACTATGGCAGTGTATCTTCCCCTGTTCTAGCGGACGATTCATTCCAATCTTGTACATTTGGAGAGTAGTGGAGCGAAGGCCTGAAACACGCAGGAGGTTTCGTTTGCCGGTAATGGATGGATTTGTCGGAGGGTCGTTTTGCTGTCCGTGGGAGTTGTCAAAACGACTCTAAACGCGAAAAACAGCCCTCCAAAAAGGGTTACTACCGTCTTCACCCGAATAGAACGCCCGGTTGTTATCGCCGCATCTGGACCGAAAGGTGTGCCACATACAGCTATAATGACCGGGCGTTCTATTCGGGTTAAAACGGTAGTCTTTACTGAAGGAAGAATTGGCTGAAGGAAGGACTGCCTTGGACTTCTCTCTTGAAAAGAGAATTAGCACAAGGAAATGGATGGAAGCCCAGCCTCGCAAGAAATAGCGTCAAAAAAAGGGTTACTGGTCTTTATTGTTCTGTACTACTGTATGTTTTGAGCGGGGCCGTGAAGGAAGAAATGCCCGGCACTCGGACTCGCTCCACTACACAGCACTCGATATGCATTTGGACGCGTTCTGGACTGTGCATTCGGATGAGTAAAACATTTGAATGTATCGAGTCCCGAAAGCGTCCAAATGGATGTAAAGTGTTATGTATTGGAGCGAGACTCATTGTCTTTCGCTGATTAGATGGTTCCCTTAAAGATCTGAAAGGTGGCAGCAAGGCGATGAAGATGCTGATCGTCCCGCTTCCTGGCGTCGTTCGTGTTGGGTACCGCCAGCGCCGTGTCATGGATCGACCTGCGCCGCGTTCCACACACACACACACACACATGCAGCCACACGTACACCCACACATAGACACACGCACACATGTACACACACATACACACGTACACACTGGATGACGTGGCGAGTTCTTATTCGTCAATCAAGTGCATCCTGATCCTGGGCAGACCGTCGGGTTCAACCTGCTGACGAGTCCGTGAAGACCGACGAAAAAGTCTGGCACAGTCATGCCTTTTTTGTGGAGTTGTGTATACGAGCATGACAACACGCTCTCTGTTTTGTTTGTAGCGCACATAACAACACACACACACACACACTCTCTCTCTCTCTCTCTCTCTCGACTGTGGTTGGACGTGAGATGTGGTGGGGCGGGTGGTCGTTGGACTGTGTTTGGCCGGGAGCTGTGGTGGGCCGGGAGCAGTGGTGGGCTTGCCGATGGATTTGCGTTGGAGGATTGAGGACGGCTGAACGCCGCGCTCCAGGATGGGAGACTGAGGTTAGTGGGATCGCTCACTTGCCCCCCCACCGACTCCGCCACCCAGCCCTCCCTTCCCCCGCCTCCGTTCCCGCTCCTCTGCACTCCGGCACGGATTCCACAACCCCCCCGCCCTCCCCTCAACCCCCCTCCGTTTCCCCTCCCCTCTGCTGCTCCTCTGCCAATTTTCCGCTATCCCCGCTCTCCCGCCTCCGTTCCCCATCAGTTCCCCTTCCGTTCACCCTCCGCTCCTCCTCCGTACCCTACTCCGCTACCTCCCCATCCCCCCACTTTTCCCTTCGCCCGCTCCGCGTCCCTCCATTTTCGGATTCTTGGTATCTTTGTTTGTTAGAGAGAGAGAGAGAGCTGGACTCTGCGCTTACGCCCCTCCCGCCTCTTGTGTCCGCTTCCCTCTGACTCCGCCTCACTGGACCTCCCTACTCCGCGCTCACGCCCCTCCCGCCTCTCGTGTCCGCTTCCCTCTGATCCCGCCTCACTGGGCCTCCCTTCCATTTTCGGATCTTAGTGTGTGAGATATATGTATACACACACACACAGAGAGAGAGAGAGAGAGAGAGAGAGAGAGAGAGAGAGAGAGAGAGAGCTGGACTCCGCGCCTACGCCCCTACCGGCTCTCATGTCCGCTTCCTTTCCGACTCAGCCTCGTAGGGTCTCCCTTCCATTTTCGGAGCTTAGTGTGTGTGTGTGTGAGTGAGAGAGAGAGAGAGAGAGTGTTTCCCCTCTCGCTCGCCCTCCCCGACTCCATTACTTCCCGACCTCCTCTCCTCCTCCACTCTGCTCCGCTAACCCCGGCCTCCTGCCTCCGTTCCGCGTCCGTTCCCCCTCCGTTCCTCGTTCGGCACCCTGCCACCACGACCCTCTTCTCCCCCACTCCACCCCGTTACCCTCCTCTGCAACCCTACCCGCCACCTTCCCCGACGCCACCCCGACTCCCTTCTCCGTCACCCTTCTCTCCGCCGATTCCGCCACCCTCTTTCGGAACTTAGTTCTTTAGGGGGGGAGGGAGGGAGGGAGAGAGAGAGAGAGAGAGAGCTGGACTCCGACCCTACGGCCCTCCCTCTTCTTAACTCCGCCTCCGCGCTTTGGCTCCCCTGCGCTCCTCGCCACGTTACTCCGCTACCCTCGTCCCCACTCCCTCCTCCGCCTTCCTCCCATTTTCGGACGTCAGTTTGTTTGTCACACACATACACACACACACACACACACACACACACAGAGAGAGAGAGAGAGGGCTTTTTGGTTTTGAACTCCCGCCATTCAATGATCGGTGGGACCTCAGTGGGAATGAGAAGCTTTGCCACCATTGGGAAGAAAGAATGGCGTCTACCACCATTGTTTAAGAAAAAGCTAGGGCGCGAGGTCGAGAGGAAGTTGGGTGGATGAAGGGGGTTGGTTAGGGTTGCGGGAAGAGGTGTACAGCGAGCAAGAGAGAGAGAGAGAGAGACAGAGAGAGTTGCACTGTGCTGCTTCGTTTCGTCTTCGGCTTTTGCCTTCCAGGGAATGCATCGAAGATGCACGTTCAGCATTACGGCTCACATGGCAACTCTACCTCGGACGCGTGCAGATTGAATGTTCCGTAGCGGACGACAAGTGCAAGCAGATTGGAGGAGGATGATTACTTCGTTCACATATTACAGGACCTGCTTAACAACAATGACACTTGTATTTGCAGGTGGCTTCTTATCCCTGGGCGACTCTCAATCACACCACCATGCTCCACGGAACTGAGAGGAACTCACACACACACACACACAGAGCAAAGGACTGAAAATCCTTGTGTCAGTGGTTCGAATCCACTTCTAAACAGGCAACATCAATCTCTTAAGAAACTCAACTTGGTCAACTTGCCGAGTAAGTAGGCTAAGGACGGATGTATACTGAGCAACAACAGGCTCGAGCGGGCTAGTGGCCACACACACACACTCAGCTCAGGAAGTAAGCACACGGCTTACATACGAGATCTGTTTATCACAGACATATTCAAAAAACACGTGGAACAGACTCAGATTCGGAATTCTCAGTGAACTTGTCAATGGGACATTATTCTCTTAGAAAAGAGTTCCCAGACTGCAACTGCGGGGTTCCTTTCGCACTGTAGGGAGCAAAACACAATGCAGACAAGCCAAAGACTTTCCAAAGATAACACTCGACAAGCAACCTAGCCACCACAGAAGAAAAAACAAAAAAACAAAGAAAACAAAGTTCGTTGGTATTCCCTCCTGTTTTCTTGCAAGCGAAGCTGCAACAGGTCATCTAGTCCTTGTGAAAGCTTGGCTTGTACTGGCTATTAATGAGCCGTGAGTATGTATCACACTGGTGACTCGAGGTAGGATATGCTGATTTTTGTTTTTCAAAAGAAGATAGGTAGGGTATGCTGACAAGCTCACACGATCACATGGCATGTTTCTACAGGCTTGAGAGTGTGCATGTGTGAAAGTGAAGAGAGAAGATGAGTGGAAACCGGCGAATGGGTCGAAACCCATGCAAACTGTTGCTGGCATCCCTCTCGAAGCATGTCTGTGAGAGAGAGAGGGAGAGAGAGAGAGAGTGGCTTTAGACAAAACCGCTTTTGCTTGCACCACCCTAAAGTGATGATTTCTTTGTGGGTATGAAAAAAAGAGAAGCGAATGAAGCTGTGGAGTTTGTTCATGCATTTTCATGTTAGTTGGCTTGGGTTGGTGCGTGTTTATCTCATTTCATTCTCTGGTGTGGTTTTGTGATTTCTGTGTATGCAGAATACGCGCAGGTGACCCGAATGCTTGGGAACGGAAGACTGGAGGCACAATGTATGGATGGAATCAAGCGGCTTTGTCACATTCGGGGCAAAATGAGGAAAAAAGTTTGGGTCAATGCGGTAAGTCAGCCGATTCGCCCCGGGGGACTGTAGGAAGGGGATTTAGTGCGCGCACAATCAAACGTTGGGGAGTCCTTTTGTCTCTTGAACGTGCAATCGTCTCTGAGAACAGGCAGTTATTTTTAACAGGCAATTGTTTTTTGCAGGCAGAAAGGCCTGGGCAGGGAAGGTGAAGAGGAGGATGCACAGAGGGGTGAAAACCCTCCGCCATGATCTAAATAAATAGCACATGAGAAAGGAAGTGTGTCAGTTTACATTCCAAAAGAAACAAACCAGAAAATGAAAAAGGATTGCATAATAACTGTCTCTTATACACATCTAGATGTGTATAAGAGACAGCTCTGAGAACAGGCAGTTATTTTTAACAGGCAATTGTTTTTTGCAGGCAGGAAGGCCTGGGCAGGGAAGGTGAAGAGGGGGATGCACAGAGGGGGGGGGGGGGGGGGAACTCCGCCATGATCTAAATAAAGAGTACATGAGAAAGGAAGTGTGTCAGTTTACATTCCAAAAGAAAGAAACCAGAAAACGAAAGAGGATTGCATAATAATGATGTGGTTTCGCATAATGACATCATCACGACGGGGAACAGAAGTAGTAATTGCCTTAATGCTCACGACGGGGAACACAAGTACTAATCTCCGTAATGCCTTTCTTCTGGCTATTGCTGGTGTCTTATGTTCTGTTCCTAGGGTCTGACACAGGTGTCGGCTCAATGCCAGTTGTGAATGTTCAGTGTCATTGCTGGTCCCAAATGAATAATCCTGCAACCCCTTCCGCTCCCTCTGTCCCTTCTTCTTGTAAGAAAAAACCACAAGGCACTCAGCCCCAACTATTCTGGGGGCCATCAGTCCGGTTGCTTATCACCAGCAAGCAGAAGTTCATAAGAACAAAAGAGGTGAGATAGAGAAAGAAGAAGATAGAAGAAACCCCCGAAGTAGAGCCCCTGCGATCTCGGGTCAGTCAGCTAGGTGCCATTGCTCCCCCGCGGGCCCAGGTGGGTGAAGTGAGTAAGCTGGGTAAGCTGATTGCTTGTAGCCGGGAGACGCTAGCCAGACTTCTGAGGCCTCTGCTTTGACATGCACCGATATGCATAACCTAAGGAGCGTTAGCTATGAAACCACCGGGACCTGAGATGTGAAAGGAATGACCGACCTCGGGAAAGGATTTGGGGGGAGTTGTTTTTTGGAGGCCCTTTATCCCGTTTATCACCTCCCAACTTTCCCACTCCATAAAAGTGATTTGAATTTCGTTTGCTCTAATCCCAAGTGCCTCCTTACCATGAGATTCAAGGCCCTACTGTCTACAGCACCTTCCCTCCTCCTTGCCCCCGTGATCCTGTTCGCTCCCTCCTTGTGGGTATCCTTCCCCCTTGGTTCTCCTGGACCCTAGTCCCTTCTTGTTGTTGGTTCTTTTATGTCGGTTCGTGATTGTTTCTTCAGCTCTTCATGTTTGTCTGATGTCACGGCATGCCTGTTTCTGCCCTGGTTCTCCCTTCCGTTGCCTTTTGAGGATTCTGTTTCTTTCCGTTGTCGTATCGTCGTCCTGTTATGATGCTTATCCAATCGTTTTGATATGCCCTGGGGTTTCTTCCACACATCACCGTTTTCCTCTTCTCATTCCGGTCTCCATGGCAGCTCAGGTTGCAGAGTGATTGAGACTCAGTCAATCTACACAGAATGACAATGAAGTGATCGTCTGAGCTGGACTACCGCGCACCGCACCGTCCGGTGCGCCATACGGGGTCTGGTTCGGGACCTCCCCGCCTTGCCTAAAGGCCAGCCAGTACCCGTACCAGACAGGACCACACCGTGCTGCATGCTGTCCAGTAGGGCCATTTCCCGTCCGGTGCGCCGTACGGGGTCCGGTCCGGGACCTTCCCGTCTGGCCTACATGCCCCTCATCGTGCCACACTGTCCAGTAGGGCCATCTCCCATCCGGTGCAGTTTTGTGCACGAACTGTGGAGAGGCCCAATGCCCCGTTGCTCTTGTGCGAAAACAATTTTTTTTTTTTTTTTTAAATCTACATCTACTACATTCTATTAAAGTTCCTACTGTTGGGACTAGACTTTGCCTATTCTGTGAGATGGGCTGTCCGATAAGCAGTCTGCTTTTTGGCATCTATCAACGGTGTGCCCGAAAATGCGAATGAGATGCAGTGGCCAATGGAAATTACAGGCTGGCCGAAGCGCCCAAAAAAAAGGGGAATTAATGATGGGCCTTGAAAAAGGGAGAAAAGTGGAGGCAGTGTATAACTCACTTTTAGAACGGAAGATTCATTCTCATTTTTGGTTTTTGGTAAGTGCTGCAGCGAGACCCGGTATCCCATGTGCGTTTCATTCGTTCGTTTCGTTTTGTCATTTCTGAAGTGCTTTTCGTTCGTTCCTTTCGTTTTGTCATTTTCCCTTTCCTTTTTTTGCTCTATTGGGGATTGTAGTCGTGCCCTTGCTGCACCGCTCAGCAAAAGGCAAAAATGAGAATGAACGGTCCCCTAGAATATGTAAACATACACCGCTTCAGTTTTTCTCTCTGCGGGCCTCGCTCCACTGCTCTTCACATGCACAAAAGGCAAAGAGTGTTGGTGTATCTTTCCATGTTCGAGCGGACGATTCATTCATTCTCATTTTGCACATTTGGGGAGGAGCGGAGCAAGGGCCTGTGATTGGTGCGGTGCGGCGAGGCGATGGGGTGGGCGCTGCAGAGAATGGAAATCCTGATGTGTAGTTGTTTATTCGGGCCACCTTGGAAATGCAAAGAAGAATATGCACTCCTTCCACTGATCGGTGTAGTGAACGTTGGGTTGTTGGTCAAGGACTAAGCACAGCAGCTGCCTTTTTTCTTTTTTCTTTTGCAGAGCAGCGGCCGGAGGAAGCTGGAGTCTACCTCCCTCCCTTTTTTTCCCTGCTCTTTGACTAGCGAAGAGGGCAGTCCCACCTCGGAAGGAGTTGAGGGTTGGCTATGCGAGAACAGAGCCTGGAAAGTGAGCACCGCTGACATAAGACACTGGGGATGATGGTGAAGGAAAGAAAGTAGTTAGGCAACACCACCAGTACTTGGCCCATACATCGGCCGCGGGCCCCTCCCCGCGACTCTCGGAGGCCTGCGGTTCACTCTGGGCCATTGATGCGATTTATCATCGCCCCAGAGGCTGCGAAAGTTGCGGGGCGTCTATGACAATGCCCCGCGGCCGATGTATGGGCCAAGTACTGGTGGCTTAATGAAGACTGCACTGCTGCTCGAGAACTATTTTTGAAGCTGCGGTTGTCTCACTTTGTCCCTTGTGTGTTTTGGAAATTAGTAGTGCGCATCTACGGACTAATTTTGTTTGTGTGGCCTGTTGATCCGGTTGGTGGTTGTTTCCACGGTGTGCTTATGCAGGGTGATATTATCCTTGTAGGCCTGCGAGACTACCAAGATGAAAAAGCTGATGTCATCCAGAAGTGAGTCCAATCTGAAGACCATTACAGCAAATATCATTTTTATAAATCCTGAGATTATATTGTGATGAGACTGCGATTTCTGGTTGGCTGATCTTTCCCTGCTATTGCTGGACTGCTTGCAGGGTGCATCAGTGTTTTGAGTTGCAAAAAAGTGCACATGTGCCACGCAGTCTTGTGTGTGTGTGTGTGTGCGGGTGTGTGTGTGTGTGTGTGTGTGTGTGTGTGTGTGTGTGTGAGAGAGAGAGAGAGAGAGAGCTTAGCCTGTGCGGAATCCTGTTTGTGCCTTGATTTTAATGCTCTTCAAATGTGAAGGCTTATGAACAGGGAGATCAGGTGTGGCACTGTTTGTGTTGATGCAGACAAACATGCTCCGTTATGGTCTTTATTGTGCTGTGCATGCTCCGTTATGGTCTTTATTGTGCTGTGCATGCCTGATTTTCAGTTGTTCTGTCTGGCTATCCTTTTTCCGACACGATGATAGTATGTGTTTGGCTTATTAAGGGCAAGTATGCTCAGGAATTTGATGCTATTGCCTTGGGCCTTGCATGTATGATTAGGAGTTTCTTCCGATTACCTTACATATTGTTAGTGAATGAGGTTTTGTCTACCTCCGTCATTTTCAGCAGGTAACTAACGTTGATGATGTCGTGTGCATCTAAAACAGATACATGGCAGATGAAGCAAGAAGTTTGAAGGCCTATGGAGAGCTGCCAGAATCCAGTACGTTATCTCACCCTATTGTAATCGATATAGTTATTATACTCTTTTGCTTGTCCAGAGTGACTGTGTGTGGGTTGTTTGATTGCGGATGGATTAGACTCCAGGGATCTGGGATGGTGGGCTGGCGTTGAGCTCATGTTCATTCTTCTATCAATGACCCTCTATCCCTCATCTTACTTGTACCTCGTTGATCCCAGACTATGATCCCGGACTATGGTGGGGTAAGCTGCTGTTGGGCGACTTGTTATTAGAATATACCCCCTCCAGCTGGTGGGAGTATAGGTCGTTATTAGAATATACCCCCTCCAGCTGGTGGGAGTAAAGGTCGTTATTAGAATATACCCCCTCCAGCTGGTGGGAGTAAAGGTCGTTATTAGAATATACCCCCTCCAGCTGGTTGGAGTAAAGGTCGTCGAGCAAACAGTAGGGGAGAGGAAGAGCGAACAGGAGTGTTTCCTGCTCTGTAAACTGCCACTGCCACGCAGCCTCTTTTTGCTGAGGTGGACAACCCCGATGCGCATGGTGATGTCTTTTTTTCCCTTTTGCTTTTGGCCTGCATCGCCAGCCATTTTGGTCCTGTAGCACTGTTCATCTGAAGTCTCTTCGGAGTGGTACATTTTCGATTCTCGATGTTGCCTGGGACAGGTAGTGATGAACAGTGCTACAGGACCAAAATGGCCTCGTTTCTTTAGGTCATTCACAGGAAATCCAATATGGCCAGGGTTTGTATTCACAGGAATTCCAATATCTCGCAAGTCGACTGCACACTAATGTCATGATGGGGATCTATCTTTTTTTTTCTTTTTTTTTTAAAGAAATACAGCTGTCTTCTCCTTGGATACGGTGGACAAGCGCATTGTTGGACCACATAATATGGTAGTTTATCGTTGCGCTCTTGAAGTGGGCAAGCGATTGCTGGACACCACATTTTCTGTTATCTCAAGTCGTTGGTTTCCCCAGAGCCATGGACCAAACCTTGACCCTCGTCTATTTTTGTGGGCATAGTTGTAAAAGAACTGGCTGTAATTCTAGATGTGGCCCTGCACAAAGTTAGGATAATCTTGGCATTTGAATTTGTGTGTGTGTGTGTGTGTGTGTGTGTGTGTGTGTACGTGTGTGTGTGCGTGTGTTTGTGTGTGTGCGTGTGTGTGTGTGTGCGTGCGTGTGTTTGTGTGTGTGTGTGTGTGTGTGTGTGTGTGTGTATCTGTTATATGTATTACTGGGTACCATCTACCCCTCAATAGATTATACAGTCTCTGTAGCTGTATTTGGGGCAACTTCCACTCTAGATACAGAGAGAATGACTGTACGTTCTATTCGGAAGACGATGGTAGTATGCCGGATTTTTGGTACATGGTTGTGCTATGAAGGTGTGCACATGAAATGAGACGCTTCATATCTACAGCGCTGTGGTCTAGCCTGCAGTCAGGCTGTGGACAGTTGATGCTGCATTAAGTGTGTATCAGTCGATGAACTCTGGTCGGAGTACACATGTAACTGGTTTCCTTTTGTGTTGGTCTGCCTGTCGGCCGAACAGTCGATCTGTCATTTCTGTCTGTTTGTGGATGGGTCAGCGAGGATGTGCCTGCGCAGGTCAGCGTCTGTGAGGCTGGATGTTGCACACACTCCCGCTGCGTCCTTTGATTTGCTTGGTGATAACTAGATTATATCTCCTCTTGCACGGCCGCCAGGATGTCCGCCTACTTCTTCGGAGTTTATATTAAATGAATGCTCTTTGCCCTTGTCATAAATCAACTGCTCTTGTCGATGTGCCCGGTTGCAAGACTTGTGCTAAATTCTTCCCTTGTGTGCTTGTTTTGCAGTTCGTGTCAACGAATCGAATGAACAAGAAGAAGGGGAGAATAATGACGACTTGATCCACTTTGATGATATCAGTGAGGTATGGTTCTGTATGCCTTTCTAACTGAATCTTAGTTGTTCACAGAAGATTCGAGGCAAAGTCCCTAGCGGGACTGGTGTGTGTGTGTGGTGGTGGTGGTGGGGGGGGGGGCAGGATTTTTGCTGGAACGGGTCACAGGTGCAAGGTCCTTGGTTAAATTTGGTCATGCATGGAGACACAAATGGCTGTGTCCGAAATTGGATTCAACGGGGGTTTCCCGTTGAAAGGTTCAACGCTCGTCGAAACCCCGTTACAACGGGCGTTGAAACCGCGTTAGAACGTGGTACAATGGGGCCCGCAAATTTTTTTTTTCGCGGGCGAAAACCAGTCCAAAAAAAAACAAAAAATATGGGGGTGTAGACTTTTTTGCGCTCTACATCCCCATATTTTTAGTTTTATTTTTTGAGCATTTAAATTATTTTAAAAAAAAACTGACCAGACTTGAGACATCGATTTTTTATTTTTTTATTTTTTTTATTGATTGATTGGTTAATTGATTGATTGATTGATTGATTGATTGGTGGGGGATGGGTCGCCCCCCCCCCCCCCCCCCCCCCC